TTTCAACTGTATCAGCTGCATCTGGTTTATCCAATTAGTTGACAAACATAATAATTATTCGTAAGGTAGTATTTTGATAAAAAATTAATCGATTATACTTACAATACACTGTAATGGGTACACTATTTGAATAAACATCTCCAGTGACTTGTGAATTCCTTGCTTTACACTTATACTCTGCTTGGTTATCTTCAGCTCTTGTTGTTATTGTTATTTGTTGTTCTGATATCTTGCCATTGTAGTCACCATTAGTTTCAATTAGAGACCCAATATTGATATTATCATCGTTATCATATATTATATTATTATTCCTGTACCACAGTATAGTAGCTGATGGGTTACTAGTTGTTGTTGTACAGGTTAACAGTAGATTACTACCACTGGTAACAGCACCAGTATAACCGGACAAACTAGAACTTTCAGGTTTAACTGAAAAAAAATAATAATTCAAATAAAGTTTAAGAGCGAAAGTGTTATTGTGAAATTCTTTAGTTGTTATTCAGAAAAACTTGCTCGTAATTTTATTCAGCTTCTTTCAGTCAAATTTCAAGATAAATAAAAGGCAAACATATAGAGAATATTTTCGTTTTTGTGTAATATATTCTTGTGTAGTCGATAATTAGGAAAATTATTTTTGGGTGCATGGGAAATACATTTCGTTTTGAATTATTCTTAACATAAATTTCTGAAATATCTTGTCTTGAATAAAACTGAATGTTACATGGTATATTGCCCGCCAAGTGGATATTACATGGGTAAATCACATGGATGACGTCACTGAAGCTACTGTGCAGCGATACTATCACAACAAATTGACGTTCGCTGCACTGCTGCTCTTTCGACCGCTGTTGCTTTTGGGGTTTCTTCCAAGGTTTTGAAGAAAATAGACAGTGAATGTGCCAGAATGAATATTGAGTTAAACACTCGGCTTCGATGTTTAGGATATTCTTTATATGAAGCAAATATTTACAGCGAAGCCGCCACTAAAACGTCGCATCAGGGGTCGCTGCGGCACGTTCTACGCTGTGCGGGTTATATGCGTACCAAGCCGATACACACCGAGAAGGCCGTAAGCTGAATGACTAGTGAATGCAGATAGAAGGCGTGGTGCGCACGTGAGAAAGTCATTGCAGTCACTTCCAAGGGGTTCTGACATTTTTATCTGGCGAGTAGTGAAATAACTTGCGTTTTAGGAGTTCTCAATTCATTCCATACTTGATAAATTGAGTGATACATACTGCTGAAACTAACGTTTACTATGTATTTCTTCAGCAAACAATGTATGTAAAATGTATGTATGTATATATGTATTCGTATGTTATTGTGTAAAGTATCACTTGTTATAACACATGAAATAAAATAAAATAAAATAAAATACAGCATACCGAACAGGCTTCAGCGTACAAAGCAGACGACGGTGTTCAATAACGGATATATAATTTGCAGCAATGACGTCATAAAATTCATCGGTATTGATATAATGCTCCAATATAATATAATATGAGTAACAAACAAAAAAATTGTTGTACTAACTGTACTCACAATTAACTGTCAGAACAGATGATCTTGAGTCACCAGATCCAACACCATTGTCAGCAATACAAGTGTATGTACCATAGTCAGATTTCTCAATATTGGATATTGTCAATGATCCATCAGTCACTGCATATCTACCACCTATATCAATATCAGTGCTGTCTTTCTGCCATGTGTATGTAACATCAGGTACACCAGTAGCTGTACACTCAAATGTGACAGATCCATCTTCATTTACTGTCTGGTCAGATGGTGGTGTAATGATAGTTGCTGGTTCTAAGATACCATAAATACATAGATTATATGATTAGGATTTATCATGTGCACAATAGTTGTATAGCCCCACATGCTAATATTTAAGTATTATTAATGCTTCTCAATTACACATTCAATAGACTCATGGGCTATACATATATATTAAAATGAGATGTATTTATTGACAGTGTGGGGGGTTAACACTCACATGTGTATTTTAATGTATGGTACATAGAAGCATGTGTATGCAGCACGCGATCTGATTTTACTGCAACTCTGTATGCAGGCAGCTAATAGGTTGATTGGGACAACGCCTTGCATGATGTTACACATGGCAGATTGACTTTTGTGTTATATGTTTTTGCCTCACGAATGGTGTGTGTGGGCGCACTTTTTACACCAATGTCTATATGCAGCTCTGAAAGTATTACAATACTATCATTTCATACAAGATAATGTCGAAGGTTTACCGTGCTAACTGCATCACTTCCTCATATCCTTATTCTGAGTTTGGATTTATTGCAAGAATTGTTGTCAGGGAATTCTGCATAATGAATGAATATGTAAATTATTTGAACGTGTGCCTTGCATCTGTTCATGAACTGGCCTATAGAGTAATCGCTCGCATAAATACAGTAGAATGATCAGGTCAACCAATGCGACGTTTTGTCGCAAATTTGTCTGAATGGAATGAAAATCTAAATGCCTCACTTTTTATTGGCTCGTATTTTTGGCAATTTCCCTGTAGATTTGGAAATTCTCTGTACAAACGGGGGGATTCAGTGATGTAACATTATTATTGTAGCATATCTTGCATATAAACCACCATTGTCACTAATACAAATTATAAAACTACACATGACTTTTGACGCAATAAATAATTAAACCTAGAAATTGCACACATTGTATGATGAAATGGTGAATATACTTGTAAAAATGGTTCTGCCGTCAAATTGGAGTAGCAAAAATTAAATGAATGGTTAAAAATCGATTGTTGATTTTCAATTGATCTGAAATTCACCCCTAGATGATTTTTAGGTGTAGGAAATAAAACTCGTAAATTTATGCTTTTAAGTTATCTGAATTTGTTGTAAATTTTACTTCAACTCGGATGGTCTTCACTTCCGGTGGACTGACAAAGTTCATTACTGGATAGGTTTATTGTTTTGATCATGGATTTGATATTTTTTGCGTGTAGAATTATATTGTGTTAATTGTGACGTCGGTGTGTTGAATTGTACATCTAGTCATTAGAAGAGATCATTCACTACACAAACAGTGACTGTGACATAAAGATGAGGACGTGTACTTACAGTGGTGAGGTGCCCTGTTATTAGTTAAAATGTATATTCGTATAAGTTCCTATAATTGTCATTTTAGCATAATTGGCATATGTAACAACCATCTTGAGTAGAATTTGAACTATCAACTTTGATATAGAATTAGCATATAATTCTAAATTATGTATCTGATTCAGTCACATGATTAGCCATATTGAATTATTGAAAAATGACTTAAACATGCTTAAAAAATTACTTGAAGTTGTGTGTCGCACAACACGATTAGTTCTTTATTGACTTTTAAAGAGACACGGAAACAAACAAATATTTTCATTTGAACAGCTTGATATAAGTGATTTGTAGCATCGAATATTGTTTCAATATCATTATAAAGCTTATAACGATTGGTAAGTCGACAAATCACAGCATAATAAAGAAAATGATTAAATAAATCTTAGTTGTAAAATTTGAAATACATTTTAGTTATATGTAGCGCAGTTCTGAAAGCCATTATGTTTGTTATGTATATTCAATCAATATTAAATGTCATGCAATCGCTGATGACATCAATTATACAAATCCTATGTCATAAAAATTGTCGTTTTCATCATTGTTACCGTCCACTTTGAGTGTGGTGAATACACAACTAACTTGCACACTTGAGATTAGAAATCTTGGCGTGAATCCTGAATCCTGAATCCTGTAGTCTGAACATGTCACATAATGTTGCTATACATACAGCTATGATTGCTAGATACTGCTATGACTGACAGACTCAATTCGCCAATCGGGTTGTGTGTTCTTATAGCTGAGACACATTTTTGCGAATTTTGATTTTGAGAATACTTCGACAAAGAAATGTCAAATAAACTGTTTGTCAAATACACTTTGCACTATGGGAAGAGTTTATACAGATGAATTAGAGGACCAAATTAGTTACAGTTTGGAATAGAATTAGTAAAGTTATTGTATACACATTAACGATTATTAATAACAACCACGCCAACGACAGACATTTTGCCGTTAATATAACTTCCACTTCAATGGTACGGTCATTGTAGAAACTAATTCATCAGGCACCAAAGCAGAATAGACATGAAACCATTTGCCACAATGACGGCGTCAGACAAGACATATGCTACATTTGAGAAAATCATGGCAAGGATTGATCCAAAACTTTCCACATAGATAACTTAAAATTAACCTTGTCGACTTGTTTTACCCATTTTGAAGGTCTAGCAATTGCATGAAAAATAAAATAATTTAATCAGCTTGACATGTTTATGGCAAAAGTTAAAATATTTTAGTATTATGATTTTTTTACCAGAATAACTAGATATTTTGTTCCTAAACGAAAAAATAAATAATTTTGATCAGTTATGTGGTTTTGTTACCCAGTTGGATTTCCGGTAAAAAATCAAGAAATTGGGACATTTGTTTCTTTTTTTCAGTGTTACACCTGAACTTGATATTTTTATATAACATGCATGGCCAAAACTGCTTATAAATTATGAAACAATGTTGATAAATCACGTGGTTTGGCTGACATCTTGAATTTTCAACAAAAAACGGTCACAATTTAGAGCAAATGTTTATCATGGGTCTTTTATCCGACGTGTTCATAACATGTATGCATATGTTTAGCACAAAACAATTCTATATGTGATTACGTGAATATTAATATAAATCGGATTAAACCACGTTCCATCTCCTATCCAACTGCCTTCCATAGTTTGACATGGTGTTATTTATTATATCGTCTAAGAAACCATAATGCAGTCAGTTCTACTATTTTCAAAATAGTGATCAATATAACATTTTCCAATTGTCTCAGCGATGTGATGATTTTATTGTAGCAACAGTAATATAAGCTCAACTAATATCTCGAGTGAAAAATATAGCTGGTCGCCTGACTCTTGATTGTTATGAAATAATAAACAAGTACATTGAAGGTTAAAAATGGTTAGGCAATAGCGCAAATTGTTTTGCAGCAATGCTGAATTTAAGAAAAAACTTGAAGTTCTATATTTATCGTACTTTAAATTAAGAATATGTCATGTATTTTCATTTTATGGAGCTATATTACGTATCTAACGGAAACAGTCTTTAAAATCGACAACTATCTCTCGCAATTATATTCACTTGTATTTGGTAAGCTTTTATTAGGCGAATTAACTTTGTAAACAAAATTGTATCTCCACTCACTACTACAGTTGGGCAATTGTGAAACAGATAAGTAGATACAAACCAATGTACCAAGTACTATCAATCAAAATATTCTGATGATTGACATATTTATATGTAATTAGTTCATTTCACTAGATAGCGTTATTTCGCGCATTTTATATACTTATGGTTTGAATATTGCATGATGCAGATTTTGAGAAAATGACGCTTTGAAAATTATTTTGCTCTCGAATTCTGATTGCAGATTAGAGAGAATAAACTTTGACACCAGCTTTAATAAAACATAATGACATATTTAGTTCAACGTCTCCACATTGACAGCTGACTCACGTAAACAAATGGTATTATAACTGGATAATTTGACATCATCAATTATCTCAGAATTGAGAAAAGTCAACAGAACTAAGCAGTCACTGTATACAATCAGAAAAAAATAGTTATATCTCATTGAATTAAGGCAAAAATAAAACAGGGCTAATTATTTAGAACAATATATCTCTACACAGGAGGCCATGTTTCGATGCACAATTCATCTGCGAAATGTACCAATACCCCAAGATCCATAACACAATTAAAGAAAAGAAATGTAACTCGTGTTAGATATTTCAATGCAGTCAACCCTAAAATTATATATAACTATTATATTGCAAACCAACGCCGACACACTTAGAAATTATCAGAGATGACACTATTTGGATAGCATGAGTAATTTTTGAGTATGCATTTCCTATAATTCATGGGTATGATGACCTACTGTCAAAAACGAAGCACACAGCATGGCCACTGATAAAACATAAAAGGCAGCATACAGCAACATTGACCATATTTATTTATTTATTTATTTATTTATTTATTTATTTATTTATTTATTTATTTATTTATTTATTTATTTATTTATTTATTTATTTATTTATTTATTTATTTATTTATTTATTTATTTATTTAACGTTTAACGTTACTGAAATCAGTACTACCACTACTTGCTGTAACAATGGTCTCTGATACTAAAATGTCATAGCTTAGTTTAGCAACAATTATGTTGCTAATATTTTGTTTTGCGTTAAAATGTATACAGCTTACCTTGCATAATTATGTCAGTTTCATAGTACTGAGGTACTAGCTCTAGAATCTTACATCTCCATGTTCCAATATGGTCTGCTTTTATAGGATTTATAGTGAGATAAAACTCTGCGTTGGATGAATCTCCTGATATACTACACTCATCACAACTACCAGGAACAATTGCTGTGTTAAAAGAGACGTCTCTATATGTTGGTGATTCTTGTGACCATTTGGTAGAGAGTGTCGGTGTTACGTCAAATGCACACTGTAGTGTTACACTGGAACCCAACTGTGTATAGACTTCTGCATCAGGAATATCTTTCCATTCAATACCATGTACTGAAATTAAATAATTACAAAGTGTTCGCTGTAAACTAAAAAATCGTGTTATACCCCAACAAGATTTTGACACAACGCAAAGATTGCTGTGGGTAAATAGTTGTGCTTTTATATTCTATAAACTACAATTTTGCAGTTGAGGTGAGCGAAATATGTCACCAGTCTACGTCATTCATTCGGTGGGGAAACATATAAAATGCAATTGATTTGGTCGTTTTTTTTCAAAATAAACACAAACTAGAACTTAACAGTATTTGTATGGTAATTAAGTTAATATATTTTAATACATAACCAAAACATATTTTATTGTTGTATCATTCAGTTTGATAAACTTTGTTGCTAACTATATGGTATTAACTCGGACGCGCACGCTTCGCTTAATAAACGCTACACCTTAGCAACACCACCGCTAGGAGATTGTCAAGTTGTGTAAAAAATTCACATTTATTAACGCTTTGTACATTAGATATAATTTCACGTCTAGGTATCTAAAAATAAATTGAAATGCATCCCATCTTCAACAACGTCTCATGGTGGGGGTACTTCCCTATAACCACGTTGGTATTTGGTCACATCACATCACTTATGTACTGTCGTAGATACCTCTAGATAGGGATAGGACTGGCACTAATTAATCTCATTTTGCTATTTATGAATGGATTGCTTAGTTTGCGCCGAATAATACGGAATATATGAGCAACAATAGAATCATTCAAAAACATAATTAGTAATGTGAATTCAAGCAAAAAAAATAGCGCAGTAGTGTTTACAGCGAGTGACAGTCTTTGAATTCTAATACCTACATCGAAGTTGAAATCGCGCAGTGGTGTGAATTCTAATACCTACACCGAAGTCGAAAGCGCGCAGTGGTGTGAATTCTAATACCTACATCGAAGTCGAAATCGTTCGAAATCTAGAATTGGTATCCAAGTCTTCATTCAATACCGTCGGGGCAACTTCCTGCTCATTTTATAGGAGACTCTCCGTTCTCGGGCAGAGAAATGTATATACACTTGAAATCGACTTCCTGTTTAGCGTTATTTTTAAAATATTTCAATTTATTAATATTACCGTGAACATTTTTTACTGTTTAACTGTTTGTGTTAAATTTGTTAAGGCTTATGAAAAAACATGTTAAACTTTGTGTTGCTGCCTAGATTCCCATATATTACCATGACCAGACAAACAAATATTGCTAAATCAATAGCTACAGTTTTGTTTACAGATATCAGACCGTCATACCAGAATCGTCGGATGTCTGTGGTCGCGAGATGTTCAATTTTTAATAGTTAGGGAGACAATATAACAATAGCTTGCTTAACAATTCCGGGTCAGTGATTTAGGTTTGACAATGCGTTGTTCGGATTGAGTGACAGTGTCTTGAAATGTTATTTCAATTATGTAGTTCAGAACAATTTAGTAATCGATCGGCATGAATTTATATATTGTAATCGTTCGTCTTACATATATTAAACTGAGCTAAACAAGACATTAATACTTTCTTTGGCTTACAGTAATCATTTTGTAAAAAACTTACCTTCACTCCACAATGCGACAAATACTATCAGCGTGATGTGTACTATCATATTAAAATATAAAATAGCAATTTCCTCATTAAGAATGGTACACATGAATTAAAAGTACTTCCTCTTTATACTTCCCCTTCACTCAAAAACAGTCTAACATACAAATGTATTCCGGGTTCATGGCCTTTGAACTATGACTATTAGTGAACCGCTTCATTACAGTAAGTGTAATGCGCATATTTATCGCCCAATTAAAAAACTAATTTGGAATGAAGGTACTCATCCAAATACCTATGTGTTATTGTTTTGCAGCTTCGATGGACAGTCCTGAATTTATTAATTGTATTAACCTCCACTTTATGCTTGTCCGAGGAACTAGCGCCATCTAGTGTTCACTAGGAACAATCTTGCCCTAAATCTCTGCATTGGTTCAATCGAATTTTTAAACTCGCTGAATTTCGTAAATTATACAGTGGTCGAAAAAAAGCAGAGCATAGATGTGATACGAGAAATAAAATTTAAAAATTATATTACGGAGAATTATTTGCACTGACTACATGTTTGCTTAAACCATTCCAACGGTCACACCCTGTCATCATATTATTCAGTTCAATAAATATAAATAGATCTACCTCAGCAGGTATAATTATGTGATCTTCCCAGATTTATTTATTTTATGCTGTATGACTTGAAAACACGCAAGCAGAAATAAACATGGTACAAATCAATACAGGGTCGTGCTCGTACCATTTAAACATCACCACGCTCTGAAACACTGTCCAGCTTACACAATGCTCGATTATATCATGCTTGTCGCTAGAAACTGATATATTCTTCAGCTAGCCTTTGGCCAGTCAACAGACTGTATAACTGTTAACCATGAACAATTCGAGGGGGAAGTATAATCGCACAGTAGTTGGCATCACCATGATTTCTTTTACATTATTCATACATCCGCTGTTTTTTTTTTCGTAGTATCCTACCTCCCGGGCGGCGTCAACATCCGCCCAGCATCATTATAATGATAGCCAAGCATGGTTCAATTTTAATGATGCGCTGGAAATTATCGCTTTCTAATAAACCAACAAATTGATTTCAATATTATTCTATTAACCTTTTCATAATATAGATCACTGTATATTAGTATCGTAGAACCACCTCGTCGTCTGCGCTCAGAAAAAAAAACAAGAACATTTGTACAGCGTACTTTTTATTACGCTGACTCAAGATTTTGAAATGACCTACGACTGGAAGCAAACAAAAAACAGCACTGTTGACATTTTTGAACGGTTGAACAAGTATTTATTTTCGAACAAGCTTATTGTCATTGGATAATTGCTTTAGCAACTCGACAACTGTTAAAACATTTAGAATAATCATAGAATATACCATGTTGAAACTGTCAAAATGCAATTGGGTCGCGTCTCGGGGGTGCATAATGGTGGATTCAAGGGACTTATATTAACAGTATATAAAATATAGTATGTCGTTAATTGAATATTGTTTTTAAATATTTTCATTAAATTTAAATATTCATATTTATAATTATACCTTATTTGGACTTGGTAGTGGTATCTCATGATATTTTTTTTCTCTGTTAGCAGTGCTGAGTGATGTACATACATGATATTTAATATCAAAATACAATATTTGAATACGATAAGATAATAGAGTATATTATTATTTATCAGCCGTAAAAGTCGTCATACTAGGATTTTGCGTTTGGGCAGACGTTATGATACATTTAAATAATGCTGATTCAACATTGACATTTGCCGACATATTTTTATATAATCATTTTTCATTTGTGAAGAGATCAAACAACTGTACCAATAGTACCAATATTTTCCCAACAAGATATCTTGTATACTTTGTACGACGTATGTTAAATGTTATTACTTGTAACCGGAATATATCAAAACAAACAACACAGCTACATCGGTCGCTACGACCGTAGTTGCCACACTGTGTACGAGCTTAGTGTAGATTTGTGGTGTATCGTATAGACTTGTAGGTTTAATTAAATAGTTCATTTAACTGAAAATGTGTTGTTATATTACGTGACATTTAGGGTCGAGGGGCTCAGATCAATGTAGCAGCTACTTCATGCCTAATGTAACAATAATTTTGGAAGCAGTTACATTTCCATTGGAAGTGCAAAATTTCTATAATATCTCAGCAATATAAGGCGTTAAATGTCGTCACGGTAGTAGCTGTAATCTAATCTTCTTTTCCCTTTTTGCTGGTAGGTGTGGTCTATTTCCTTGTGATTTCTGAGAGTATACTCGCGATCATCTTCGATATCCTG